AGCTGGTTCAGGTCTGGAGAAACTTGGGGAACATCCCTGTTCTATGTTGTCTTTTAGGCCAAAGCCTCCACAAAGCCAATGGGGTCGAGTACTATACTGAAACGAATTTATGGTATTAATGCATAAATCGATCAAGAGTTTGGAAGCCCCAAGTATAGAATCTTTGGTCAGGTCGATTTCAGTTTGATAATCTACAAAAAAAAGCACCGCCGAAGCCGAAGGGCCGAAAGCTGGGTTTCCCAAACACAAGGTGTGTACGATACAAACACTTGATGCCAGGGTAACGATCTGACTCAGTGAGCTCCTCATTGCGCGAAAACGCAGAGCAGCGGACCGCCATGCGGCGGGGGACAAAGGTTCTGGCCCACCAACGCACCAACGCCAGCGGGTATGGCTAGACACAAGTGTTGGTGACTTGGACTTGAGACTGGTATTTATAGTTACATAGTCACATAGTATTTATAGATCTATTTTGCCATGCCAAAGGCAACAATTCCAAGCAGTTGAAGGCCTCCAGCTCAATTCGTTGGCTCACAGCCCGAGAAATTCCCCTCTGAATCGAAAGAGTTTCCAAACAATGGAATATGGGTTTCTCCATCAAAATTGAAACCAGGACTCCCCATCTTGGACAGGATTTTGTGCTGCACAAAGGTTTTCCAAGGCCATAGGCTGGTAAATGGTAAATGGTTGTATGGGACAGACTTGCAGACTTGGATGTCATGTTCTCTGCACTTCTCATACATGAGAAGCGTCTGCTCTTGCTTGGATGTCGTGATGCGCACATGGCCGGGCCCCGCAGAATCTACATGGGTAGAGCATCCAGAGATCAAGCCCGAGCACTCGAAATTCATGCACGCATCCAGAACCACCATGTTTCTTGCGTCAAGTGTTTATTGCAACAGACCTGAAATGATGAGAATAAGAAATGAAATGTACTGAAACTCATCCAACTTCTTCCATCCATTCTAGCGTAGTTCCACGCCTGGTGCCGAAGAACGAGGTTGATCAGGTCAGCGGCGGCTCCTGGAAGAAGGTGTAGGACTTGGCATCGAAAGCCTTTTGCGCCAACCTGGGAGCCACCGGGACCCAGCGAACCCAGAGAACAGCAATGGAAATGGTGTTCGCTAGCGGAGCCGGTAGGTGTTCACATGGACTACGTAGAGAGCTGGGGGAAGGAAGTCCTAAAGGATAGCCAATAGGCAATCTTGAGATATCTTTCGGGTTTAGTGAGGCCGTGAAGAACATTCTCCGAGTGGCTGTGCACTAGTGATGGCTAACAACAGCCAATGAAGCTACGCAAAGGTCCAAGGTCTTTTGCAACTAGCTAGTCACTCTCCCTGTCGATATCACCAGGGTTTGTAGTTGTACCCCCTACTAAACTCGACTTAAGTCGCATCTCATGGAGTGATTGAACAATTCGACCCCCTCCGCCGGTGTTTCGAGCTCCAAAAAACAGCTTTGCGGACTCGGTCCCTCGGACCTGAAACCCTTGAGGTCCGTTTGACGTTGGACCCTGAAACCAATGATGTGCGAGGGCGGTTCTCGTTCTCTGCCCTGGTGTTTTCACCTCTCCGAAATGCATGCGACATGCGATGAAGATGAATGAAGCCTTTCGTTCGGTGGTCAAAAAAATTTGGAGGACGCAAGTAAGACACAAAAGCGGTTGGTACCATAACAACACAGGATGCACTAGCCTTGTGACACGTGGCCTTGGGACTTCGATTTGGTTGCCAGCCCGCAGAACACCTATACCGCATGGTGCTAAAACACTACAGGCACTTGAAAATCATGTCCAGCCAATCCTCCATGTCACAATGAACTTCCCCGATTGATTGAGTTACCAGCAAACCAACCTACAATTTGCCTAGAATCCAAATCTCGCCTTAGCCTGAAATTGACATAAGATGTACTGTACTACTATGTTTACTATAGACTATAGTCGTCATCCGAAGTTCTTAGGCCAAAGTCCAAAGTTAGAGTGCACAGTTCTCTATTCTGTCTTGACCGACCATGGCACCTGTACATGTCTGTGAGTCAAATCCCCAGGCACCCTGGTGGAGCCCCAGACCCTTTGTTGAGCAGATCCCTTCAGGATGTCTTCGGCGAAACCCTGCTTTGGGGAAGCGAACGAAGGAGTGTCTCACACCACACTTGGTGAGTGCGATCCGTTGGCGGATCCTGAGGTCACTGAGGTGCCCTGCAGCTGTTTGCCGGTCCTGGGCTTCATGACCAAATCCTCCTCGATGCAATGCAGGGCTGACTCCTGGCTCTCCGCCGTCTGGAGCTGCCCCCCCGCAGACATCCAAACCAAACCCCAACTACCAACCAGTGGAGCTGAAAAACCAACCAGTTGAGTGCCAACCAATATGCACTTATTCAAAAACCCACCAGTTGAGTCAGGTGAGCTGAACAAACTGAGGACATGAATCTTTCGAGCTGCGAGCGGACCTCCGTCTTCGGTCAGAGGTTGAGGTCTCCACAGTTGACGCTGAACAGCGTAGCGTGTCCCAGTGTCCCACACTGACCACCATTGAAAGATCCTTGATGCATAACCCGTTTGGCCTCCAGTCGTACCTTCTGAGAAGGTGGGACTGGGGTGGGTGCCAGGAGGGTCCAGTCATACCTTCTGAGGAGGTACTTGGAGATGTAGGGTAATCATTGATCCTCGGAACCTCCCAAGTCTCACAGGAGACCCCCCAAACGGCCTCCCAAGTCTCGCCGTGCAACATGCGCCGGGTCAGCCTGGGCTCGACACGCTCCTAGCTTTGGGGCCGTCCGAGTAGCCGTCGGGTTGGGGAGCGATGCAAGGGTGGGTTCCATTCCCGAGCGGCTTCTCTCTGAGGTGCAGTTGAATGAAAAACAAGAAGAATCACCTGCGAACAAAAGGCAGGTGGTTGTTGAAGTCAACCTGCATCTTTTTCGCAGCTTGAAGTCATTCCTTCCCGGACAGGACATTGTTGGAAGTCATTCGAATCCGAGATGTCGTTCAAAGGCTTCCAATGAAGACGTTAACCCCGTCTTTAGACCGACCTCTATGACCCTCTTGTTTCCCTGGAAGACAATGTTTAACACAGGGTTGGTCTTTTTCTACCAAAAAATCAGATTCATCTCCGAGAGGGAAACCATTTCTCCATGTCTTCCAGGTTTATCACTCTCATAGGGTGCCTTTTTCGTGTGTTAGCGATCCCGCCGTCGTTCCTGGGAGACCTTTCATCTGTTACGGTGTTCGCCCGTTCGCTGTTGGCTCAACAAGAGGACCCGACACCTTCACAAGGGTCTGGACCCCAACAAAACCATACCAAACCTTTTCCATCTGAAGACCTGAATTCTTGTGATTCTGTGGCTTTTTCTATCACATCCTTCAAGAGAAGAGTATTCAAAGACGATTCAGGGTGTTTTGGGGTTGTTGCTTGCTTGGGGATCCGTTTTCTTGATTCAAGAACGATGTGACCCTCATGCGAGCTAAACCCACCCTAAACCGACCCGTTCTTCTCACCACCACTTGGAGTCAAACCAGCACAGCTTCGCCCAGTTCCGCCACCAAAGCCCGCACACCGCCCAGCCAGAGCGCAGCTTCCGCTTCCCATTGCTGTTCTTGATCTCCTTGACCAGGACCTCCCGTCACACACAGAGGTTGGCACTTTGAGAAAAGAACGGAGGTGACTCGCTGGCCGCTGGCCGCGGCCGCATGGTGAGATGGTGACTTGGATTCTGGTGAACTTATGCTTCTCATCCTCATATCTACAGGTGATATACCAGCACCACCCAGTTCGGGTGGTTGATTTCCAATCACCACCCGGGAACCCCGGTGCTCGCCCATGTTCGTGTCATTCATGTTGCCGATGTCAAAACCTTCGGAACTTCGGAGAACCTCCGGCTCCTTCGGTTCACAGGGCTCCTTCGGTGCACGCGGGCTGCGGATGGGGCGAGTTTTGGGGCGGGAGCAAGTGGAAGGATATTTTGGGGGTGGTGGTAGACTAAGCTCCAACATGCTCCAGATCCGATGTTCCGGGTGTGTAGGCTAAGCCACCGTTCGCTCACCGGTCTTCGTTCCCCCAAAAGACGTCCAAAATCGGATCCAAATCGTCCAACGGTCTCATTCAGTGTCCGGACTGCTCAGGACTCTTCACGTCCTCGCTCCGCGGCCCGTTTTCTTGCACTGGGCACTAAAGGCGGCTCGGTCGCTCCTTTGAGGTGGAAAAGAAAGCTTGATCCACACACGCCGCAGCCACACCCGCACCGTTCGCGGCAAAAACTTCCCCCGGCGTGTCGAGCTCTACTCTCATGGATAGCTGATGCATGTCTCTAATCCTACAGGCTGACGTGATTTTCGGAGGGCGCCCACGGCCTACACTTCGTAAAGTCTTTTGGGACTGTTGTTGGATTTTGAACAAGAGGGCCGGGTGCACTGAAATGCACCCCAGAAATGGGCGTCACAATGATCCAGGGGAGCTTGGCGCAAGCTGCCAACCACCCCAACTTGTAACCACCAGTTCTGTTCAGGTGCATTTGAACTCGACTCTCGCCAGGTTGGTGAATTTCATCTCCCGGGTTCAGTCTCCCCATGTCTGGGCACAGCAGCCGCTGGACCCATCTCTCCAAAATGGGTCAAAGGTGCAACGCACATGGGCGCCGGTGCCATGTTCTCATAAACAATTTTCGCACTCCAAGAGTAGAAGGGAGACCCCGGCGGGAAGTCAGGGTGGACCCCAACCCAAGAAGGGCATATCAGAACTACACATACTCACACTTGGGGGCCACCCCAATGAAGCAAGGGTCATAGGCCTCGCATAAGTCTCCAACAAGAGACTTGGATAGACCTGGAATAAATCACCGTGCCACTGTCCTTGAAGCAAGAAAGTTCATGTTCGTAGGATAGGCCATGCCAAAGATATCATTCAGAACTAGGACTGGGCAGGTGGCAAATCAAAGCTTCTAGCTAGCAACTCATAAGCTAAGCTAGAGAATAAATATTGAAGAAACTTTACAAGTTGGGCATTCTACAAGCTCACCACCATACGCGCTAAGGGCTTCGAAGGGGTCCTTTTCCAAAAGTGGCAGTCGGTGGAAGACTGAAGCTCACTCATCGGGCTTCCATCCACCTCCACCCGTCCTCGTGTCGTCCGCCCAAAGCGATGGGCACGGCGAAGGTCGATCCAATCTTCGAAAAGCTTGGGGTTCGCCTCCACTTCCACACAGAAGGCTCGCACGTTGGTCAACTGCTGGGTCTTGGCATGCACGAGCAGTTGTGAAAAGTGAGACGAGCTCGTCTCGCAGGAGTGCTTGGAACCTTGGTACCACATGGATTTGCTCCGTCACGAGCGAACCTTCTCGAAGCAGCTTGAGCCAGCCCACTGGGCAAGAGGCACGCATGCTTCGTGTGAAGTCGGGGCACATGTTCGAAAAGCAGGCGGCTCCCCAAACCCAATCATGTTGCGGCGTCCAAAGGCCCCAAAACCGGCCAAAGGAAGCCAAGGAAGCCAAATCGGTCTGAAGGTGTGTGAATGGTGAATTGCCAGAAACCCCCCAACAAAAACTGCGTGAATGTGTATGACCCAAATCCTCCATCATGTCCAGACATGACCAGCCTGACCGCACCTGGGACCTTCCAAGCGACCCTCCCCACGTGGTCGTCCGCCTGGTGGGCCCGTTCGCCCGGAGGACGCCACCGGAGCCGAACCACCTCGGTGCGGAGCACCGGAGCCGCGGGCTCGCGGGCTCGGTGTGCGACCGCGACCCACCGGGGACCCAGAGCCTCCTCCAGATGGGGGAGACATAGGGTTTGGGGTTTAGGGTTGGGATTTGAGAAAAACCCTTCGAATGACTGGCGACTATATCTCTTGCGGCTTCTTCCTGCCTGAAATCATGGTTTCGTGGAGTGGTTCAATCTGAACTCAGGGCCGTTTGCCCTCCAACTTTCGGATTCCAGGGAGTGTTTTCAGGCCCCACGGACGAAGGCCCTCAGTGGATGATGGTTCAGGTCAGGATTGGGCCCACATCTCAAAGGAGTGATCATCTTTGACCGGTAATGGGCCCTGGTCATGGGAGACACCCTCATGTTAGATATCCAGAAGTGCTAAAATGGCAGTGAATGGCACCCCTCTGCAGGTGTTCAAAGGTTTTTCCACTCCTTGGACCGCATCTGAGTGGGTCAAATCCAAAAAAATAAACCCCACAAACACATCCGACACTGACTTCGAGCCACAGGTGTTGGGAACATGTTGGGTCACAGGAGGGTGGGTGTTGATTCAGGTTGCTCAGGAACAGGCCAGGAGGTCCCACCCGATCGGTCTGGTTTTTCCCCACTTGAGTGAGAGGAGACGAGAGTACACGAGAGGAGAGTACTAGAGTTACTAGAGTTCTGTTCATCCCAAACTGAAACCTCGGTACTAGTACAAGTAGTTCCCGGGCAAGCCGGCGGCGGAAGTTTCCTATAAGAACAAATTGACCTATAGGAGTGTCCAAGTTCTCTCCAACATGCGCATCCTCCAGAGAAACGCACGCGCTCCGGACTTGTGCCCCCTGCAGGATCAGCAGCTCACAACAGCGTACTGGGTTGTATCTTTGCCACGACAAGAGGGGTGTATGACGAGTGGTGTATATGATGAGTGGTGTATGACGAGTGGTGTATGATGAGTGGTGTATTGACCAGCAGTTGAATGTCGTGTCCTGCATAAATGCAACCAAGTACTATCAGTATGAACTGTGCCAAACCTGCACGCCGCGAGAGATGACTCAGCAGCGAGAGATGACTCAGTCGCGAGTGAGATGACTCACAGCAGCGAGAGCTGACTCAGCAGCGAGAGATGACTCCTCCGCGTACTACACTTGTACTACAAAGTGGCCAGTTCTCAGCTTCCAGCTCCACAGGTTGTTCCGCGTGCTAAAGTTGTACTAGAAAGTCGCGAGTTCTCAGCTTCCAGCTCCACAGGCTGTTCCGCGTGCTAAAGTTGTACTAGAAAGTCGCCAGTTCTCAGCTTCCAGCTCCACAGATACTCCGCGTACTAAAGTTGTACTACAAAGTCGCCAATTCTCATCGTCCAGCTCTACAGATTGCTCCGCGCACTAAAGTTGTACTACAAAGTCGCCAGTTCTCAGCTTCCAGCTCACAGATTGCTCCGCGTACTAAAGTTGTACTACAAAGTCGCCAGTTCTCAGCTTCCAGCTCTACAGATTGCTCCGCGTACTAAAGTTGTACTAGAAAGTCGCCAGTTCTCAGCTTCCAGCTCCACAGATACTCCGCGTACTAAAGTTGTACTACAAAGTCGCCAGTTCTCATCGTCCAGCTCACCAGATACTCCGCGCACTAAAGTTGTACTACAAAGTCGCCAGTTCTCAGCTTCCAGCTCACAGATTGCTCCGCGTACTAAAGTTGTACTACAAAGTCACCAGTTCTCAGCTTCCAGCTCCCCAGATGCTGTGCCTGCCACGAAATCTGCCCATGGAGGTTCACAAAGTGCTGCGCCTGCCACGAAATCTGCACCTCGACGCTCACAAAGTGCTGCGCCTGCGCAGAAATCTGCACATGGAGGTTCACAAAGTGCTGCACCTGCCACGAAATCTGCACATGGAGGTTCCCAAAGTGCTGTGCCTGCCAGGAAATCTGCGCGTGGAGGTACACAAAGTGCTGCACCTGCCACGAAATCTGCACATGGAGGTTCACAAAGTGCTGCACCTGCCACGAAATCTGCACTTCAAGAAACAAGTGAAAAACTCTAATCCCAATGGACGGACGATTCCGACCATGATCCGAGCATGACCCGAGACCGTCTCGCACCCGTCGTTCCGCAAACCTTGACTTGCCAGCTTCGGAGCCATCGGTTCCATCGAAAAATACAGCATTTCGTGCGTTCGCTATCTCTCCACAACGCATTTTGTATTGCGCCTGCCACGAAATCTGCACATGGAGGTGCACAAAGTGCTGTGCCTGCTACGAAATCTGCACATGGAGGTTCACAAAGCGCTGCACCTGCTACGACATCTGCACATGGAGGTTCCCAAAGTGCTGTGCCTGCCAGGAAATCTGCACATGGAGGTACACAAAGTGCTGCACCTGCCACGAAATCTGCACTTCAAGAAACAAGTGAAAACTCTAATCCCAATGGACGGACGATTCCGACCATGATCCGAGCATGACTTGCCAGCTTCGGAGCCATCGGTTCCATTGAAAAATACAGCATTTCGTGCGTTCGCTATCTCTCCACACGCATTTTGTATTGCGCCTGCCACGAAATCTGCACATGGAGGTGCACAAGGTGCTGTGCCTGCTGCACCTGCCACGACATCTGCACATGGAGGTTCCCAAAGTGCTGTGCCTGCCAGGAAATCTGCACATGGAGGTACACAAAGTGCTGCACCTGCCACGCAATCTGCACCTGGAGCTGGAGTTGCCTGGAGCTTGAGCTGTTGAAACCAGAGCTGGTGTATGAGTGGTATGATGAGTGGTGTGTGATCAGTGGTGTGTGATGAGTGGTGTATGATGAGTGGTGTATGATGAGTGGTGTATGATG